AGTTATTATTATAGATTCGAACCAGTCAGTTTGAATCAAATCAAATCAGTTCAAATCAAATTATATATTCGAATCAGCTCGAATTGTATCAAATTATATATTCAAATCCGTTCGAATCGGTTCAAATCGGTTCGAATTTCATTGATTCGTTCGGAGCCTTACTAATAATTTGAATTTAATTTCTACTTGTCTTCTACAAAATAGAATGATAAAGTTGGAATTTGTATTATGCTATTTTTTATAACAAGAATGCAAGAATATAGTGTTTTATAATCTTCAGTATATTTAGATATTTCAATTAAAAGTTCCAATGGTAAGATGAAAATACTAGCTTTATTAAATAACAAGATGAAATCTTTTTCTTTATGCAAGGAAAAGAATTCATCATTACTATTACACATGCTGTGTGAGTCAAAATTACCATCTTAATACATATTCTGTATGTAAATTATGTTTGTTAGAAAGAATATTTTATTATTCTTCCTTATTTTTAATACTTTTTGGCCACCAAGGAATTAAAATGTTGGTCTGTTCTTTATACCTTTTATATGCTTTTATATTTCCAAATTTCTTGTCATTACCTCTTTCTAAAGGTGGAATACCTGATACCTTTGTAATTAAATAAGCTGGAAATAATGGTGTTGCCCAGATAAAATATGCAAAATATGGTTTAATTAATTCAGGTTGAATATTAGACACATATATAAGAGTGGGAGTACAAAGAATGGTAACTCCAAACCACTGTTTTTTTAAAATTTTTTATAAATATTGTTCTTAGGAAAAATTTATAACTTACTAATAAAATTTCCCCAAAATAGTTTGGATGCCTGCTAAATCTATATAATATATATTTATGTATTCAGTAATACATATATTTAGTGTATAATTTTTTCTAACGGATTTTTTCACTTTTTCACATACTTCCATAATCCATGTTGAATGAATTTCTCTTTATTTTCTGGCACACTTCTAAAACTAAATTTTTGATAATCTGCAATAATTTCAAAAGTTATACCAATCACCCACATTATTATCCCTATATAATCTGTAATATTTAAATTTTCTTGAAATTCTTTAGGCTAATTAATAATGAAGATGATTTTATTAATGTTATTAATCTTGTCATTATGATTAAAAGATTTTTTTTTTTTTCTAATTACATAGACAAATCTTACAATAGAATTCACTAAATAAACACCCAGTCCTGTAGTAAATATCCAAGCTGCCTGTCCAATCCAAAAAACCAAAAATATCCTGGGATTAATTTTAACTTTACTAAATCTTGAATCATTTCCTGCTTTCATAACTCTATAAAATAAAAAGGTTGCCAATCTAATCGACCAAATTGTCATCATTGATGTGGCTATCAGTTGGCGAATATGATACATTTCTAATAAAGATGTTAATGAATCAGGGAAAGTTGTTTCCCAAGGTTTTAATAATGAAAAAATTCCACATATTGTAAACGTTAAACTTGAAATAAATAAAAAAAAGAAAATTTTGAGATTAGTTTAATAATGATTATATGTAAATCGATGAATATTAGAATAAATAATATTTACCATCCTGAAAGATCATAAAACTTTATATAATACACAACTATTTATTATAAATAAACTTTTATATTATAAAAATATATATTTAATTAATTTACCTTCTCCGTTCGTAAAGGTGCTGCTATAGAAAAAGAAAATAATTGAATTCCATAGACGATGAAATAAATTGGCAAAAGCTATTTTAAATATGGTAAACATGTTAAAAATATTTCATAATTTAATATTTTATTATCAACAATTTGGTTTTTATAGTAATCACCGTATTTAAAGCATTAGCTCCAATTATATCAGCGATCAAGTTATACATTTTTCTTTATTTCAAAGAGATTATCAGGTAAAGAATTTTGGAAAAATGCTTCCACAGTTATTATTTGTGTCACCATGTTCCAATGATATGCTTTTAAGTCACAGTCCTTCCAATAGTTTATGTAAAAAAAATATAATTAAACTGGGGGAATACACATGAATGTAATTCTCATCAAAACCAATTATAACGAAGCCAAACAACCACTGATATATTAAAAGTATTAGGCAAACAAAATAAATGCTGTTTGCAGTTGCAGAAAAAATACTTGCAAACAAAAGACCACAAGTTAAAAAATTGATAATTTCATCCACTTCTTCTTGACTTCCAATTTTATAAGTTGTAGTATATTTGTGTAAGAAAATTGACATCTTACAATTCTTAAAGTGCATATAAAGTAGTGGTTGTATCCACTTGAATTTGAAAATTCAAGTTTTAACTCGATTCTGCTCAACTTAGAGAATAAAGCGAATAAAACAAATGATTCGAATTATTCGAATAAACGAATAAAACGAAAAAACCCCCGGATAATTCGAATAAAATAAAAGCGAAATAGTTCGGATAATTCGAATAAATTAATAAACGAATAAAATAATTCGAATACACTAATACTAATACTAATACTAATAAAACCAATACTAATAATTCGAATAAATAATTCGAATAAGAATTCGTATTACGAATAGGAACTCTTACTCTAGCTCAATTCAATAATAATAAAGATTTTTTAAACGGGTTACATTTCTGCGCAAACATTGTGAAATTTTATAGTCAAATTCGCGTTACTATGAATTTTTAAAAACATAAAATTCATTGAAACGTGATAATAATTTTGGTATAAAGAATTTTAAATGCAAACTTTTCTTACAAAACCTAAAAAAATGAAAACACAATTGAAAATTTCGGAATTTTTTAAAATTATTTAAATTCAAGTATTTTATACGATTTATTTTATAGTTTATTTATTATTGTTTCAATTATTTTAATGGTACATTTAGAATCAAAAAATATAACATCTATTGCTGGATGTCAAACTTTAACTGTTTTAGTGGCCTATACATTGAATAATCCCAATTCATTCATCAATTATTTTAATAGTAGAGCAAGTAAGTATTAAATGAAAACAAACTATATATTACATTTATACAATCACTGATTTTATAAATATTTTTTAGAAAATTTTTAAGAATGAAAATATTTCAGGAATAGATTGTAAGTTTATTTACAAAACTGAATCTAACGAAAAATTGTTCCAAATGGAAAAAGTTTTAGTTATTCAACAGAGTTAATTTTTTATAGTGGTTAATTATTTTAGAAACAAAGAACACCAATATTATTATGTTAAAAGGTGAATAATCTTTATTTCTATAATTTTACTTTAACTAACTGAAGTTAACAACAAATATACTTTAATTAGTAGCAATGATTCAACCTAAGAGAAGAAAACAAATAATCAATCAAAATCAAACAAATCTAAGAGGTAATTTGTATTGATTTGTCTGTTATTTTTTTACATAAACATCATGCTAAATAAAATTTTAAAAACTAGAGTGACTGCTGAAAGCACTGAAGTTTGTTGGAGTAAAAGAATAAAAGATAAAGATAAAAAATATACAGAAACAATAATTATCACTTCTGATGATTGTTAATTATTTATTTATTACTTTGTTTATATTGTTTCTTATTAATAAAAATAAAGGAATTTTTACAAGAAATTTTTTAGTTAAATATAAATTTCCTGTCCTTTTCATGAAATTATGCAAAAAAAGCCAAGGGACAGGTGCAGCACAGTAAACCTGTCTCCTGTCCTTTTCAATTTTTTACTCAGAAAATTTGAAAAGGACAGGGGACAGTATGCCTTGTCCCACTTCCGCACCACAACTGTCCCAAGGTTTTCCCTGTCCTTTTTCATATTTTCATGTACCAAGTCCTGTCTTTTTGCAGATTTAGTGGGTAAATATTGAAAAGGACAGGGGACAGGGAACCAGCCACTTATAACTGTCCTCTGTCCTTTTCATGTGACTCAAAAAATATTTTTCAAGGTTGTAAAAATGTAGTTGAATATTTTACAAGAAGAGACCACTTTTTATGATAACAGGAAAGCAATATTTTTCTAAACTCAAAATAGTTATCAGCAACATAAACTGTTTATCTCAATTCATTTGAAGACATAGAGGCCTAGCATGTCAATGCTTGAGGTTTTAAAATTATCATCAATATAAAAAAAAATTTGATGATAAATAAGAAGGGAGTGAATAATCTATATTCACAATCTAGAATTGCTACTATTATTACTGTTTTTAACTATAGTAATGTGCAACAAAATCTTATGATATAATGAACATATAGTATCAAATATATGCTAAAGATCTTGACAATAATAATAGTAATAAAAAAAAAATGATAGATAACTATTTAGTTCATATCCAAAAATATTGTCATTGCCCTTTAAATGATATTAATATTAATAATGTTCAATTAACCAATCCAATTAAACCTTATATGATGAAATAGGTAGATTTAAACTTTTTTTTATTGCATATACAACTTCAACAAATGAAAAGAATTACATTCAATACAATGTATTCAGTTTGATTAGAGTATGTATTTGATCATCAAGTTTGCCAGATGTATAAAATAATTAAAATTATCATTATTATTTCTTTGTCCATATAAATTAACTAAACATTGTATGCTGCAATGCTTGTTCAGATGACATCCTTTTATCTCTATCTACCTGACACAATTTAAGAATAAAATCCACAACAGTTTTATTTTCATTAATATCACTTCTAATTGTTTTAAATGTAGAAAAATATAGGTCACCTTTCATTATATTGTCATAAAGCTTAGTATAATCATTTGATCTTCTTCAACATGATTATTAACATTCCAAGGATATTTTTTTGACAACATATAGTAATTTACTATCTCAAATGACCAGATATCAATAGATTTGTCATATTCATATTGAGCAGTATCACCATCACTATCATTATCTGTTGAAAAAATCTCAATACTATCTTTGAATGCCTTGGCAAGTTCAGGTGCAACAAATAAGGGTGTCCCAACTAAATCTGTTCTGGTCTGTTCAATATAATTGCCCATGCTGTTAATAGATCCTTCTATTTATTTTTGACTCACCAAAATCAATCAACTTAACTTGATTAAAACTAGAATCTGTAAACATGATGTTGTCAGGTTTGATGTCTTGATGCATTATGTGATTCTCGTGAATGTACTAGAGGGAATAAAAAAATTAAAATGTTACTATATGCAGTATAAAAGATATACAACTATGGTAATGTTTAAAATGATTAAATACGTGGGTTGTACAAAAAATTTTGTGAAAATACATGTAACTTGATGATGATCTTTTCTTTAATAAAAGTAAAATGGGAATAAAAAACCCTTAAGCCACAATCTTTTAAATAAATAAAAAATCATTCAAATTGGGTCATTTGTTGTTAAGTTATAAATTTTTTAAAGTTTGCCAGTAGAAACAAATGGAAAATTCAAAACATGAATACCAAAGATATTACATTTTTGTTAGCTGGAAAAATAGCAAACCAGCTAAACAAATTCAACAGGAATTACAGGTTGCTGAGGGTCTAATGCAGTATCTTTAGCATATATTTATCATTGGATTGAAGCATTTGAAAGTGGGAAAAAATAATGTTGAAGATGATTCACATTCTGGATGTCCTCAAGAAACTTCCACCCTTGAAAACATTGCAAAAGTTGATGATTTAATTAATGATGATCCTCATATGACAATTACAGCTATTGAAGAGAATGTAGTTATTTCTAGGAGAAGTATTCAAAGTATTTTACATAATGAATTAAAAGTTCATAAAATTTGTAAAAAATGGGTCCCACATGTTTTAACT